GCTAAATGATCAGTCTTCAATTTCGCAAGGTTAGCCATTAGAAACATGACAGAGAGGATCATGAATGCGTTTTCTTTCGAACTAGATGTTAATTGCAGTTGTCTTGAAAAAAGACTGCCGAGTAAACTCAATATTCACTAGACTCAGTCGAGTATACAACAAAAACTGTTAATAAAGAGAAATGTGACACAATAGAATTGAAGTGCTCTTCTAGAGATTCTAACAGATGACACTTTCTACAGAATCGAATCGAATGAACAATTGTTCAATTTGTTTCGGTTTCTGATGTACATTCAAAAACTCACTACGTCTTCATGCATCCCTAAATATAACTGAAACAGATTCTGTATTTAAAATTATTAGATATAGTCCATGAGAAGAAATGAAATCTTTTTTTCCAATGATTACAATTCATTTTTCTCTGGCATGCTTTATCGACTATTCCAAAGGCTTTTCAACTCTGCTTCACTACTCCTATACCAACACGAACTGCATATGTGAGGGTGTGTGAATGTTGAAGAAATAACTTGAAGAAAGATTCGGCTTTCACTTGAACCTGTAGATCACTGTTTGTTTTCTTACTTGCCATCGGTGGACAGAGTTGCTCATTGAAACTGGGCACCAGATAACAAACAGGACGATTATGACATAGAGGATGATGAATACATCTATAGTTAGGTTCATCACAAAGATTGTCTGGGCTTTTACATGCAACTAGCTTAGAACAATCTGTGGATATAGCGGTACAAATGCCAGTGTCAATAGCACCTGCTATATAGAAACAGGCGCACCAACTATTTGACGAACATCGGTCATATTCAGCAATTCCATGGCAGAATTGAGATTTCACTCGAACTAGCGACATACTAAATTAATAGGAGGATATGTAAAAAGAAAACAAGAATCAAACCTGTAAAGCTTAAAAGGAAAATTGTTCAACATTAGATGAACAGGAAAAAAAAATATTTTAGAATTACCTGAATAGAATGAATACGAAACAACGAATTAGTGTTGAAACCATCGCTTGCCTTAAAATGAGACAGAATAGTGACGGCACCCGTCTTTATACACCATGAAGAGATAATGTTTTTCGTATTCACCGAAAGTGAAGAATCGCACCACCTGTTCTTTCGATAAATAGAAATTTGATATTGCTCCATTGCTTTCTCTAAGCACTTAACTTTTCTCTGACAAAATAATCTTTATAGAAAAAAAGCGTCGTAAAAGCAATATAGGATTGCTTCTGCGATATAAGCATTTAATACGCTCGTCCTATCATTCGAAACATGAATATTGTTATTGTCAATCATCGACTTACTATGTAATGACAGCCAACAACAATTTCAAGGACAAATTTTGTTTTTAATATTTGTACTTTTATTATAGGCAGCTTACAAAAGTTTGCACCTTCATCAAATCAAAGTCACAATCTATAGGTAGCCACATGCATTTGTACTTTGGACTTTGTCGTCGTTGACGGTTTGGATGCGTGTGCGGACGTGGGATATAGGTGTGGGCATCGGTTGTGGATGTCAGTGTGAGTGTGGCTGAACGCACCACTAACAATCACATCCACACCCCATACCTTACACTCACACCCCACACCCCATACCTCACACCCACACCCACACTAGGGGTGGGACATTATTTCTAATCCAACTTAATTAAGTCACTTAATTAAGAAATTTTACTTAACACTTAATATTAAGAAATTAAGTTTTCTTTTAAAAAACTTAACACTTAAAATTAAGTGTTAAGTTCTTTCATTAAAACTTAATTTTAAGTTTTAAGGTTTTTCATTAACACTTAATGTTAAGTGTTAAGTTTTTCTGATTAACACTTATTTTTAAGAATTAAGTTTTTTAATTAAAACTTAATATTAAGAGGTTAACTTAGGATTAGAAAAACTTAACACTTAATTTTAAGTGTTAAGTAAAATTTCTTAATTAAGTGACTTAATTAAGCTGGATTAGAAACAATGGTCGACCCCTACATGAGATTGTATATTCGAAATGATTGACCCCATTGACAACTCCCTAGTTGACAGAGAAAACGCTATGATGCAATATGATTATAAGAAAGAAAAAGCCTCCTTAAATCTGATTGGTTGAAAAATCGGCCAATCAGATTGCAGGAATCCAATTCTTCTTTATAGATACGTTTGGAACCTAATGTTGCATTTTCGAAATGATAGATCGCATTGACAAACCCCCTAGTTGACAGAGGCAACACTATGATATAATATGCTTACAAGAGAGAAAAAGCCTCCTTAGATCTGATTGGTTGAAAAATCGACCAATCAGATTGCAGGAATCCAATTCTCCCTTATAGATACATTTGGGACCTAAGGTTGCATTTTTAAAAAGATAGATCGCATTGACAAACCCCCTAGTTGACGGAGACAACACTATGATATAATATGATTATAAGAGAAAAAAGCCTCTTCAAATCTGGTTGACTGAAAAAGTCACTTAATTTTAAGTGAATTAAGTGTTAATGAAAAAAACTTAACACTTAATATTAAGAAATTAAGTCTTCTTTTAAAAAACTTAACTCTTAATTTTAAGTGTTAAGTTTTTTCATTAAAACTTAATTTTAAGTTTTAAGTTTTTTTATTAACACTTATTTTTAAAAAATAAGTTTTTTTTAGTAAAACTTAATATTAAAAATTAAGTTTTTGAGAAAAACTTAAAACTTAATATTAAGTTCTAAGTAAAAAAATATGACTTAATATTAAGTTAAGATTAATGCCCCAACCCTAGACCCACACCCTTCATGACACTGTCTTAGAATATTGGCAGACTTCTGAAACTTTTTCCTTTTCCTCTCACCGATTCCAGAGAGAGCAAAAACTATTCCCGTCACACAGAGATATGAGTCACTACCATCAATTTTGTCAGCAGTGTCCGAATTCCGTGAATTCCGAACACTTAAGGAATTCTTGAACTCAAAAAATTATAATAAAACCTACAAGCACTAAGACTCCACAGAATTTCAGGATCCCAAAGATACCAAAAGATTCAAGGATTCCAAGGATCCCAAGGAATTCAAGGATCCCAAGGAATTCAAGGATCCCAAGGAATTCAAGGAGGGTGTGGGCGTGGGTGGGTGTGGGTGTAGGGGTGTGGGTGGGTGTGGGTGTAGGGGTGTGGGTGTGGATGTGGGTGTGGGGTGTGGGTGTGGGTGGGTGTGGGTGTGGGTGTGGGTGTGGGTGTGGGTGTGGGTGTGGGTGTGGGTGTGGGTGTGGGTATGGTTGTGGATGTGGAAGTAGGTGTGGGCGTGGGTGTGGGTGTTGTTGAATTGAAGTCTCACAACTACCCACACACCCACCACACACTCACCCACGCCCACACTTACACCCATACCCCACACACCCACACACCCCATTCGCACCCCACACCCACACCCTGGTGAAGAGCTGCTTGTAAGTGTAATAGTTTTTCTTTAAAAAATGCTGCATTTTAGGATGTTTCAAATCTTATTTCGCTACTATTAGGCTGATCAAAAGAGACAAGCAGCTATGAAAAAAGAACGGAAAGCAAGACAAGCTAGGATGAAAAAAGAACGTGAAGAAGCAAGACAAAAACTTCATGATAAAGTGAATAGTGTGAAAATTTCTGACATCCAATGCCTCTTCTAAGAAGGTTTTTGTTCTCTGTCTATTTTCATAGTATAATATCAAGAAGAACGATGAGTTCTTCATTCCAGTTCACAGTAAAACGACGACGTTGAATGAAAATCAAGCAAGAGAACGGCATCAAGCATCCAGTGTAAACAATCAAGGAGATAGTTCGAGAGAATGAGACAGTGCATACTGCTTTCGTTACTGACTCATTCACAGCACTCTTCTTTTTGCTCTTTCCTTGATCAAGTATAAACTATGTATAAAACTGGTTTTCTTAACACATCATCTAACGAAACGCCAACAAAGTGTGACTCTTACTGCAAATTTCACTTAGTCTACCAGTTTTTGTTGAAAATAGTTCGAAAATACTCGCAAAAACTTCCAAATCTCTTTACAGCAGTTAATTAATACTCTCTTGTTCTTTTTTAGTAGGTCTCAATCCAGTGAAAACGACAACAAATGTATTTGATAATTTGAAGAAAAAATTCGGATGGAAATAATAAGTTTTGGTTAATTTTATGCACTCCATCTTACGTTCTTTTATAAGTGTAACTTTTCTTTTCTCCCATCTTTTCTGCGTCCAACTTTTATCAGTTTTCTGTATATTGTTCTTGGTTTGACTGATTCTTTTGGCTATTCATTTGCAAATTGCCGAATCATGCCTATGATTTTTTGCAATTTTCTTTCCGTTCAAGTCCTTTAAATTCACTCTAAAGCCTGATACACAGAAAAACGAATTATGCTTGATATCATAATTATCTAAACAAGAGAGTCATCCTCAGATGCATTATATTTCAGCTTTCCTGGCCGTGGCTTTCATTGCAGGTGCCTGAAATTTGGGACAGGAATGCTTTTCCCAGCATTACCTGTGTCGAACTGTAAAAATGTGGTTTCCTATATCCGATCCTCCTGACCCTATTTGTAAATCTTTCACTGTATTACAAGCTTATTCAAGTCTCATTTCTATAGTAGAGCGTCTTCTATGACTGGTCTAATGCAGTATAAGACGTTCTTTTTGAAAGACTGTTAACTTCTACTATCATCTATGTGAGTTTTGTGGAGAAGTTTTTATTAAAAAATTGTTCACATTTGAAGCCTCACCGACGAAGTCAGATAGGGAAAATTTATAGATTTTCTTGTATACATGAGTTCATTGGTCAAAAATAACATATCATACGAAAACTCAGCAGTTCCGTGCTAATGAAACATTTCATTGTTGATATTGTGTGATGTCATTTTCTGTTGAAAGCGGATTACAAAAGTATATATCTTTGAGAACGTAATTAAGAAATTCTGCATGTATCCAAATAACAAAAAATAAATAAAGTAGAATCAAGCAGACGATGGATCAACGATACGAAAAATGAATTTGTCTATTAATGATAATGATAAAATGATTCTGGATGATTATTCATCATCTGCTGAAAAAAATTATGAACAAAAAGATGGAAATTCAAAAGAAGAAAATGGTGACATTGATCTTATTGAAGAAAGTAAATAACTATCGAACGATATCTATACAAATTGTTCAAAACAATTAACGGTTTCATCAAAGTTGGCGCAACAATTAAAAGTTGAACTGCTAGGAAGTCTTTTAAAAAATAGAGTTTGGCGTTTAGCTTATCAAATCATTCAATAGAAAGATGAAAATAAAGAAAGAATTTTTAAATCGAATTGGATCTAAGTTATTTGGATGATGATCATTAACCTATTATTGGTTTCAAAGTATTATATGCAACCGATGAACCTGAGTAAATTAAATAATACGAAGTGCTTAAATTAAAATGTTTATTGGAATCCGTTCAACGAACTTAAGTATATTCAGATGAACACTTTCATCTACCTATACGTTCATATACCTTTTCTTCGTTTTTACTAGGAACAGTTTTGACAACATACAGAAGCAAAAAACTACATGATCTCATTGATCATATTTTGGATATGTTATTTGTTAATAATAGAATAACTTTTCTTTTATTTAAAGTAATTTTTATTTGAAGAGATTTTATTTTAGGGAGAATCGATGAAAATATTGATGAAAAACATCTTCAATCATTAAAAACAAAATTTTTTCTTTATGAATCTGACGGAATTTAATGTGAATTAATATTTAACTACAAAATAATCATACTTCATGCAAAATATTCATTTTAAATTGAAACTAATCTTTTCACTTTTTTTTAAAATTCTACTCAACCGAACGTAGTTCATATAGATCTGAATTAGAAAGAAATCAAGTTATTTTATATATTCAAAAAGATACTGCAACCCTTGATTGTGTTGATATTACATTAGAATGAAGAAGATTCATTTATAAAAAAAACTACTTCGTTCATTAGCTTATTTCATCAGTGATAAACTTGCTTCACCATTAGAAAAATTCAAACGATGTACAATTCCTTTTGATCGATTATTGAAAATCAAACAACAACAACAGTCATGTAAGTTTGATTATAAAAATTCCATTTTTTAAAATAGTTGAAGAGAATGTACAAAGATCACTATTTCAATTGCTGCAACTTTATCACAACAACGACTTCAATCACATTATCAACCGTTGACAGAAAATGTAAACCATAAAGAAGTAAAATATGAAGAACAAGAACAAGTTCAACGTGGATTCTTTCAAAGTTTAAACCAGTAATTGATTGATTACTATTAATATTTGTAACATAAATTCTTTTGTTTGGTTTATCTATATCTTTCTCAACTCCTTCATCACCATCTGATAATGAAGTTATTCATTGAATGATTGGCACAAGTGGACCTTATGATCAAAGAGAATTAAATCAATCAGCATATGCAAAACATGAAGGTAATAATTCATGTGAATTTATTTCAGCATTAAATATGATTCGTTATTCAAATCTTTTTCATAAAGTTCTCTTTATATTCATCGAAATCTTCCCATAACAAATATAATGCTTGATCATGAAAAACAACTTGCTTTCTTATTATCTTCTCTTGCAAGGAAGTATTTAGGATTTATAGATGCAAAAGATACATTTATATCCTAGTTTTCTTTTCAGTAATGGTTATTAAATATCTCTCTTTTGTGTTCATACTAACTGACATATTAACTTGAAGTCGTTTGAACGATTCGTTTATGTCTCTTGGTAGAATTATTAGAAAGAGTTGAAACCATCAATGCGAACATTATTTGTCATCGTTATTCGCATAATGTAATTTATATTTGTATAGTCACTTTTCCTGATGCATGCTTGAGCTACGCAATGATGAACTTTCTCTCAAAAATAATTTTTCTTTTCATTTAATTAGAAACAAATAAAATAATAGCAGAAAGGTCATTCCAGTTGAAAAATGGCGTTTGATAAGCATACCTGTCCAAATGAAAAAGACTTTTTATACTTTTCAACTTTAGGATTGAATGTATCAGGTGTGAATAGTTTTACAGTATTGAATAGAATCACATTCTGTTAATTTCTAGTCACGATTCTATATAGTCTAAACTTAAATTATAAATTAAGTAAAAGTTTGTTCTGACATTTGGTTGAGAGAGGATCGTTAGACGTTGTTTGAACTATCTAATTCTATTGTTTTGTCGTTCTGAGTTTATAATTAACGTGTGCTAACAGCGGTCTTTAGTTAGGATTAAGTGAATAGTTTTGGAAGTTATTGTTCATCGCTCGGCATGATAATCTTGTTGCTTGGTTAGATAGATCTTGCATTTGTATAGTAGTCTATTCATTTCTTTTGAATTGTCTAAAAGTTTTCTATGATACAAAAAAACTGGACATATCGAGTAAACTCCATATTATAAATAATATCTATTTTAGGTTAGAGATAAGCCTTCAGCTAGATGTAAAGGTTAAATTTTAATGCTTTTTAATAAAGTGCCGAGCATGAAAGTGCCGCATAATTTTCTAAACGACTATGAATATGTTATTATGTACTATAGGGTGTGAGTGTGTGAATGTGAAAATATATCAAAGGAACACTCATCCACATCCATACTCACACCCACACACCTCACACCCGCACCTACATCCACATTCACACCCGTTTTATTTTTCGGACGGAGGTTTAATTGATGTTCTCATGTTTGTGTTTATTCAATCGTTTTTTGTTGATCTTTTTTCATTAGTTGATTGGTGAAACATTCAAAGCATGATCATCAGAAAGTTTATATCAATTCTAAAATTTATATCTAACTTATCATGAGAATAATGTTCCCTTACATGTTAGGAATTAGAGAGTAGCAGACGTATTGCAGATATTCTATTCACTGTTATTCAAATATGTGAAAAGTCTTGACTTATCTAGCTATTTAACGAGCAAGGTTGGAATTTTCAACAAAAAAAATAATAACATCAATAAGCAACTGTAGACGCACAGTTAATTCTGTTTACGGAAATCATGTTTTTCCCCATGGGAAACAACATGAAAATATTCAAGAATTATGTTCAACATGTCTGAAAAAGTAAAAGGAATATTTATTGATATTGTGCGTAATTCGGTATCGACGATGATTTTTTGTTTGGCGAAAAAAAAGAAACCTAATATCAAAAAGAAGTTGGAATAAACCTACAAAAAATTTCATGTCATTATATTTTCGACGTAAACCCTACTTTAGTCGAAAGATAAAAATGTCGAAAACAAGAATAAGGCATTAAAATGTGGGTGTAAGAGTGCAGGTGAGAGTGAAGGAACTTCTCCTTTCATACATTATCATTTTCAGCATTCGTACCTTTCGGCATTTCTATAATTGTTGTTTTCGATATTTTTACTTTCGACTAAAGTAGG